ATAGAGGAGATAGGGATGGCTTTATACTGAGAAAGCTCAGGCCAGCTTTAGGAATAGACATCATAAATAATGAAGTGACACCTGGCATAGTATTCTCACTGCTGCCGTACAACTCTGCAGACTTGTGTTTAAATGGAATATACTATAGCATGCCAGTTCTGACGTGTGGAGGCTGCTTTTGTTTTCTTTTTTCCTTTTTTTTTTCTATTAGTAGAGAATCCAGTGTCCTGAGCATCGAACTAAAATCTTATAGGATGTTATCAGCTTTCCCAGTTGTCTTCTGTGAACTACTAAACAACACCCTACTATGTAATGAGGAGGTGTTCATAACTTCACTATGCACTTTATGGTGGCTTTATCATGCTACTACTATCACTATCCTTTTAGTTTTTCGATTATAGTAGCACTTTACACATTTGGGAGATTATTGCAAAAGAGATTCCGATTAGATGTATTGGAAAATTTGCTGTGTGCATTTTTGTAATATGCTGATCTCCTTTGATGGGCACTTCCATCTAGTGGCCGTAATGTGGCATTTTTTTTTATCAAGGTATTTCAGTAGATGACTGCATTGTGGCCCCTGGAGCTGAAGGTAATAGATAATTATATTACAAAAAAATGGTGATCATTTGTAGTGCTTGAACAAATACTTAAAGTGGTTGTAACCTTCAGACATGAAATATGAACAAATCATATCCCTCTATAGTGTGTAAAAGCACTAAGTGTTATTTCTGTCTGCTGCTTTGTTCCTCTGCAATCAGCATGAGTCACTTCTGACAAGTTTTCCTGACACCAAGAGAAAAATGGTGACAGGGGAGGGACATCCAGGAGACTGACAGCCTCAGCTCTGTTCATGTGTGCTGTGTGAAGGGGCGGGGGTGTCTCTCCCCTCCAATCAGCACTCAGAGCTTTCCTCACTGAGCTCTGCAGAGCAGTGGTGTATATAGGTTTTTTGCTGCCCTAGGCAACACAAAAATTGGCGCCCCCTGCAGAAAGAGCCTGACAGTGTCCAAGAACACCCCTGCCCTCCACCTGAGCCTTCCACTACCACTGCCCACCATACACCAGCCACCATCCCCCATGACAAGAGAGAGAGAGACTCAACTTTAAAGCTTCGGACATCCCCAGGAATGAGAGTTGGGCTGTGCATACACCGTCATGAAACCCACAGCATGTCTCTGAACCCACAAGGTCCCCATGCCACGTGTGTCCCTTCTTCCATCCCTTCTTCCAAGGGGCAGTGATGCCCCCCTGAAAAATGCCGCCCTAGACAAATGCCTTGTTTGCCTTCTGGTAAATACACCCCTGCTGCAGATTGTAATTTCAGCTCTGCCCCCTTTTTTCTGAACTCTCAGAACAGCTTTAAGATTTAGCACTTTGAATGGATGTAGAGAAGACAATACTGCAGATAAGCAGGTACAACTTATGTAGGCAGAATGATTTCATCCCCCTGTATCACCTGAGGACAATCACTTCACTGGATATATGTAAGGTTTACAACCACCTTAAAGCTAAACTCCAGGTATAAAACCAGAATGTATATACCGTATATTCCTCCGTAGCCACAAAGGATATAAATCTACTTTATGTGCACCAAATGCCTTTGCAATTCCAGATATTACTTTCTAAAAGTAGCAGTAACATCATCACTGTGCTGTACATAGCCCGTGCAGAGGTACCCAGCAGGCCCCACCCACTACAGACAACTATCAAAACAACTATAAGCACACAAATACCCAATGCTGTCAGATCAGGATGATAGGAGGCTGATGTCCACCATAACAAAAATCCATAATCTGCCGTGGATCAGTTCCTGCAAGCTCCTCCTCTATATCCGGGATGGTCATAACTAGCACACTAAAAACAGAGCAGACAGGAGTGCAGGACCCGGAGGGAAAGCTGTGTATCTTTATTAAAATAAAAACAATAGCAGACTCACAGTCAGACAGCTTCAAAGCTTGACAGAGGATCTCCCTCAAAACACGTTGCCCCCTCACCCAACGTAGACCAATTCATGTCATCCTATCATAAGTGACGTCTCTGGGACCTAATCGTGTCAATGTGATTACCACGTATGATAGACCACTACTGATTTTTAACTATGTATTTGTTGATGGATTTTTTATTAGAATTGTAATAATGAATGTTTTTATTGAATGTTTGACTCTGACTGGCATATTGCCATCAGCCCTATAGTAGAAGTACTGCTACAGCGCAGCGCGGCCACGCAAGATCACGTAAATATACTTGATTTGCGTTTCCGGGTAGGGGGCGCGCGACGCTATTGGTGGCTGGGGATGTCGATCAATGGGTCCCAGCTGGTGGTTCCCGAATGGCACTCGGTGATCATCGGCAAAGCTGACGGGAGAAACTTGTGTGTAAACAACATTGGTCTGTCTCCTGTCAGCATGGACATGCTGCTTTGTATCTGCGCAGCAGAAAGATACAAAGCAGCATGTCTCCCAAGTAAAGCAGCACACAGTTAACCCCTTCCTGCCCAGTGTCATTAGTACAGTGTCAGTGCTTTTTAGTAGTGATCACTGTATTAGTGTCACTGGGGATGTCAGTGACAGTCAGTTCCCACCCAGTCCGTGTCAGATTGCCCACCGCAGTCCAGCTATAGTTGCTGATCGCCGCCATTACTAGTATAAAACAAAAATAAAAATTCCAGTATCTATACCGCCATTTGTAGACGCTATAACTTTCTAGTAAACCAATTATTATGCAATTATTGGGATTTTTTTCAGCAAAGACATGTAAAATAATAAATTTTGTTCTAAATTCATGAAATTTGATTTTTAAAAATTTTTTTATTGGATATGTTTTATAGCAAAAAGTAAAAAATATAGATTTTTTGTTAAAATTGTCAGTCTTTTATTGTGTTTAGCACAAAAAATAAATGCAGAGGTGATCAAATACCACCAAAAGAAAGCTCTATTTGTGGGGAAAAAAAAGGACATAAATTTCATTTATGTACAGCGTTGCATGACTGCGCAATTGTCAGTTAAAGTATTGCAGCGCTGTATAGCAAAAAATGGCCTGGTCAGGAAGGGGAGTAAATCCTCTGGAGGGTGAATGGTTAAAAAAAAGAATAGCAGACTCACATTCAGGCAGCTTCAGAGCTTGACAAAGAGATCAAACTCAAAACGCGTTGCCCCCTCATGTAGATCGATTCATGTCATCCTATCATAAGTGACGTTGCTGGGACCTAATCGTGTCAATTGATTATCACATATGATAGGACACTACTGATTTTAACTATGTATTTGTTAGAATTGCAATAAATGTTTTTATGAAATAATGTTGTACCAGTTTGACTTCGGCTGACATATTTAAAGTCCCATGTATTTTTTTATTTCTTCTTTTTATGGGGGGGGGGGGTTGTGTTCCTGCTCACCTTTATGTATTCTACCTCCTCCTGTTAAGTTCATCATTATAAAAATGATTTCATCTTGCTGGAAGGGCAGGACCGTTCTCACCAATAGATTCCTATGGCAATTTTGTCAAGTAGTTCAACAATCTGGCATCCACCAAAAAACTGAACTATTACTTCTAGGTGGACCGGCCCTTGAAATAAGATATATTTATATTTTGTACCATGAATACCTCTATTGTTCAATGTGAAGCTGAAAGTGTTTTCCAAAGAAGAAGGTTTTTGTGTAGCTGGCTCTTTCATTCCAATGGGCTCTTTTGTTGTTTAAAGAGTAACTTTCATAAATATTCATCTAAATCACATAACTGAAGGTGTGGGCTGATGAGGGGTTCTTACAGACTCGGTGTGGTGCCAGGAGTTTGCGGACTACAAAAACTTGCCTTTCTTTCTGCAGCTTGTTTTTCTACAGGAAAACAATTGGAAGGTATAGGGATGATGTATCTTGTTTTAAAGTGTTACTAAACCAATCAGTCTGTATATGCAGTAAAGCATGCTTGTTATACTCACTGTGGAACCGAAGGGGTTAATCCTCCGCATTGTGTAAAAAGGCTGTTTGTTCCTGTCTTCTCTGATCCTCCCCTTCTTCTACTGTCCCCAATCTAACTGCTGATAGTACAGAGCTCTAGGAGACACTCTGCACATGCTCAGTCTATTCACTGGTCATACTGGATGTGAATTGGCATGTGGTTTGCATGCTGTGCGAGTTGCAAATCGCTTGCCAAGTCACACGCTATTGTCCGCAATTAGAGCGGTCATATCGGTGCGGTTCCCACTTGGTCGGAGCCGCACCAATTTCTAAAGTAGTGTATACACTACTTCAGGTGCGATTTGCATAGACCTCTGTCTATTGTCTTGGAAATCGCACCTGAAATCGGCATCTCATCCAACTTTGAAGTCGCACGATTTTAAAGTCGGGTTTGATGTGACCGGGGTGTTAGCATGTATTGCTAGAGAGTTTTTTTTTTCTTGGGTCCGGGGAGACCGGATATAGTGAATGCAGGGTCCGGGCAGACCGGATACAGTGAATGCAGGGTCCGGGGAGACTGGATATAGTGAATGCAGGGTCCGATGAGACCGGATACAGTGACTGCAGGGTCCTGGGAGACCGGATATAGTGAATGCAGGGTCCGGGCAGACCGGATACAGTGAATGCAGGGTCCTGGGAGACCGGATATAGTGAATGCAGGGTCCGGGGAGACCGGATATAGTGAATGCAGGGTCCAGGGAGACCGGATACAGTGAATGCAGGGTCCGATGAGACCGGATACAGTGAATGCAGGGTCCTGGGAGACTGGATATAGTGATTGCAGGGTCCGGGGAGAGCGGATATAGTGAATGCAGGGTCCGGGGAGACCGGATATAGTGAATGCAGGGTCCGGGGAGACCGGATATAGTGAATGCAGGGTCCGGGGAGACCAGATATAGTGATTGCAGAGTTCGGGGAGACCGGATATAGTGAATGCAGGGTCCTGGGAGACAGGATATAATGAATGCAGGGTCCGGGGAGACCGGATATAGTGAATGCAGGGTCCTGTGAGCAGGGTCCGGGGAGACCGGATATAGTGAATGCAGGGTCCGGGGGAGACCGGATATAGTGAATGCAGGGTCCGGGGAGACCGGATATAGTGAATGCAGGGTCCGGGGAGACCGGATATAGTGAATGCAGGGTCCGGGGAGACCGGATACAGTGAATGCAGGGTCCGGGGAGACCGGATACAGTGAATGCAGGGTCCGATGAGACCGGATACAGTGAATGCAGGGTCCTGGGAGACCGGATATAGTGATTGCAGGGTCCAAGGAGAGCGGATACAGTGAATGCAGGGTCCGGGGAGACCGGATATAGTGAATGCAGGGTCCGGGGAGACCGGATATAGTGAATGCAGGGTCCTGGGAGACCGGATATAATGAATGCAGGGTCCGGGGAGACCGGATATAGTGAATGCAGGGTCCTGGGAATCCAGATATAGTGAATGCAGGGTCCGGGGAGACGGATATAGTGAATGCAGGGTCCGGGCAGACCGGATACAGTGAATGAAGGGTCCGGGGAGACTGGATATAGTGAATGCAGGGTCCGATGAGACCGGATACAGTGAATGCAGGGTCCTGGGAAACCGGATATAGTGAATGCAGGGTCCGGGCAGACCGGATATAGTGATTGCAGGGTCCGGGGAGAGCGGATATAGTGAATGCAGGGTCCGGGGAGACCAGATATAGTGAATGCAGGGTCCGGGGAGACCGGATATAGTGAATTCAATAGACAAACAAATGAAACCAGCGCTCAAATCTTCATGCAGACTAGGGAATTGAAAAAGCCAAAACGAAGAGGTGCTGCCCCTCAAAGACCGGGAAATCTGAATACTGGTGAACAAAAACAGACCAGGGCGCACTCTCATTGTGCATTACCATGGAGACCCACTTATTTATTAAATGAAATGGAAATATACTCACAAACCAGCGAGAATAAAAAACAGAATGAGTGGTATGCAACAACAGCAGATGCAATGCTGTGCCCTTGGTGTGGATAAGCTGACGCGTTTCGGGAGACGAACTCCCTTCCTCAGAGCTCTGAGAGTTATGAGAATTGCATAATGCCAGCCTAAGGCTGGCCATAGACGGGCCGTTTATCGGCCGAATTGTCGGCCAATAAACGAAAAAATCAGTTGTTGCCGATGCTGCCACCAATGTCTACGAAAAACTGATGTTTTTTCGTGGATTTTCCAGCATGACCGATAAAAAGAAACAAGACAATCCATGAAAAACTGCTGACGGCATCGCCCCACTAACGGCGTAAATATTGGCGGATGTTTAGTGCGGATGAAAATTCAGCCGATAAATGACCCGTCTATGGCCTGCATAAGATCTGTACACAATGCAGGCTTTGGGACTAATTAATATACATGAATTTATTGCATTTAACAACATTTGCTGTATGGTGCTGTAGACACATTCCTGCGATTATGTTTTACGAGAAATGTCAATCGTCTAGGAAATACAGATTTCAACAGGAGCACGATGGTAGAAATTTGGAGGACGCTCAGATGTTATCCCCCCCCAACCCCCAAAACTCAACCAACTACCCCCCCCAAAACTCAACCAACTACCCACCCCCCAAAACTCAACCAACTAACCCCCCTTGCCTGAATGTGTGATACTAGAATCAATTGGATTGTTTGGAAATCATGCGCTGTATCTGACCAAGCAGACAAGTTAGCCCCTGCCCAAGGTCTGTTTGCCCTCAGGGATGATATCCATCAATCCTTTAGGGCTCCTATAATTAACACAAACACTGGGGGTCTAATCTTCCCCTTGTAAACCTGCTGTGCATACAAACATTTAAAGAAATGTAAATGGGGCCCAGAGACAACAATCCCAAGTAGTTGATGTGAAGAATCCTGAGGTTCAGATGCAAAGCACAAACATTTGTTGTAAACTTTGTTAAAAAGCCGGCACCTCTTGGTTCACACCTATCACACACTGATGCTACCACAAGGATCTCTGTGCTGCCACTATACTCTACTTTGTTCCCGTTTGTCTGTATGAAACGGCTCATAAGAGTGAACAATATTTGATTCCAGTAAGACAGCCCATAGATGACTTGATTTTTTTTCCTTCCTATAGTTGCCAGCAGTAATCGAATGTAAAAAAATTCGACAGGCTGTTTGTACCCAAGATGATCATTCGATTACACTCAGCCCGCCCATACTTGAATCGAATTTCAGCCAGTCCCTGCTAAACCAGTCAAATCTCAATCCACGTATGGCCAGTTTTACTCTAGGTCACTAATACCTGTAATGATTGTATCCAGTATATTAAAGCAGAACTAAACCGGGCAGCACAGTGGCTAAATGTTTAGCACTCCCGCCTGGCAGTACTAGGGTCGTTGGTTGAAAATCCCAACCACGGCACCACCTGCCTGGAGTTTGCATGTTCTCCCTGTGCCTGCGTGGGTTTCCTACTGGTACTCTGGTTTCCTCCCACACTCCAAAGACATACTGGTAGGTGAATTGGATCCTGTCTGAACTGGTCCTAGTATGCGTATGAATGTGAGTTAGGGACCTTAGATTGTACGCCTCTTGAGGGTTAGGGACTGATGTGAATGTACAATATATATGTAAAGCGCTGCGTAAATTGATGGCACTATATAAGTACCTGTAATAAATCATAATAAATAATCTATGGACAGCCTAAAGTGAATCTATTCTTTGCCTTTCCCACCACTCCATTCAGCTGCTGGTAGTGAAGAGTCATAACATAGAGCTCAGGACCCTCTCTCCATTCCCACTGGCCAGCACTGAGCCAATCAGCAAGCTCCAGTAGCATGACCTAGGAGTGAGGGGAGAGTGTCACATTCACCCCATACTGAGAAATGGAAGGTGAGTATAAGCTACTGCAGGGTCTTCCATTAAAGGCAACCTATAGCTTCTCCCTGTATGACAAAATTCACTTTCAGGTTCACACCACATCGGAAACAAGACAGCCAATGAAGGGTAGCTTTCTACCAGCAGCTGAACCTCTCTCCCAGAACAGCTTGGAACCTCTGGAACAGCCATAGAATCAATAGGCAGGTGAGGTCCGAATACCACAGGTCATGCCCACATTGAAGAAAAATATATTTGAAATATATTTTAAAAATATTCTTCCCAAATATATTAACATATATTTGAAATGCTACAATTTTGGCCATATTCAATATATTTCAAAATATAGTTCAATAAAATATATATATATATCTATATATATATATATATATACACACACTGTATGTTGAAATGTATTTTTATTACAAAATATATGAAAACCATTTTTAAAAATACATTTCAAATATACTGTATGTCTTTAAAAATACAAATCTACATTTCTGCAATGCATTTACAAATATATGTAAAAATATATGTTAAAATTACTTTTTTATATGTTAAAGAAAATCTGAAGAATATATTTAAAATATATATATATTTAAAAATACCTGTATATATTTTTTAAATATATTCAGATTTTTTTTAACATATAAAAAAGTCATTTTAACATATATTTTTACATATATTTGTAAATGCATTCCATATACCATATATACCATACCAAAAACCTCAAGCGACGCAGTCACGCGCTAGAGTGACTATGGCGCAAAACCATATCCCAACAAGCGTTCACCCAATACAAATCCGCCTTCCTCACCTACACTTCCTCCCTCCATGCCAAGCAAGCCTACTTACCCTCATCAATACTCTCTCCTCCAGCCCTCGCCGGCTCTTCTCTACCTTCAACTCTCTGCTCTCTCCGCCCTCACCCCTCCACCCAGTACCTCACTCACCACCCACGAGATTGCTAACCACTTCCAAAGCAAGATCAACGCAATTCGCAGGGACATCACCACTGCTCAGACTTCCGCCCCACCTACCATCCCTCACACGAAAACCCCCTCAACACGCCACTCCTTCAACCCTGCTACCACTGAAGAGGTCACTAAGATCTTCTCTGACGCTCGCCTTACCACTTGCCCCCTTGACCCTGTCCCCCACACAACTCCTACGATCTCCCTCCTCCTCCATCCTATGCTCCCTCACTCACATCTTTAATCTCTCCCTCTCTACTGGCACATTCCCCTCCCCCATTAAACACGCGCACATCACTCCCATACTTAAAAAACCCTTCCTGGATCCCACTGACCTAAACAACCTTAGACCCATCTTCCTGCTGCCATTCTCATCCAAACTCCTTGTGAGGGCCTATAATTGCCTAAGCTCCCACCTCACCGACAACAACCTCCTTGATCCCCTACAATCTGGCTTCCGTCCCCTACACTCCACCGAAACCGCCCTACTCAAACTAACCAACGACCTGCTAACCGCCAAAGCCAACGACCACTACTCAGTGCTACTACTCCTCGACCTCTCCGTGGCTTTCGACACGGTTGACCACCCCCTCCTCCTCAAAAAACTGTACTCTTTTGGCCTCAGAGACTCTGCTTTCTCTTGGCTCTCTTCCTATCTATCTCAACGCTCCTTCAGTGTTACCTATAACGCTGCAACCTCCCCCTCACTCCCCCTCTCTGTTGGGGTCCCCCAAGGTTCTGTCCTCGGGCCCCTTCTCTTCTCCATCTACACCTCCTCCCTTGGTCAACTGATACACTCCCACGGCTTCAACTACCATCTCTATGCTGATGACACTCAAATTTATCTCTCTACCCCTTGCCTCACCCCTTCAGTCTCCGCCCGAATCACTAGCCTTCTGAACGACATATCAGACTGGATGTCACTCCAGTTCCTCAAATTAAACCTTGCCAAAAACGAGCTCCTAGTTTTCCCCCCAGCCCGGGCCCCCCCCCCCCCTCTCCATCACGACCAACAACACCACCATCAGCCCCACCCCACAAGCCAGAGTACTAGGTGTCATTCTAGACTCCAATCTGTCTTTCCAGCCCCAGATCCAATCGCTGACAAATTCATGCAGACTCCACCTCCGCAACATCTCCAAAATACATCCGTTCCTAACTCCTGAAACTACAAAGCAACTCATTCACTCCCTTATCATCTCCCGACTTGACAACTGTAACTCCCTCCTCACCGGCCTACCCCAACACAGGCTATCCCCGCTTCAGTCTATCCTGAATTCTGCGGCCAGACTCATCCACCTTACCAACCGCTCCGTATCCGCCACCCCCCCCTCTGCCAATCCCTCCACTGGCTTCCGATTGCCCAACGCATAAAATTCAAAATATTAACATTGACGTACAAAGCTGTTCATAACACTGCCCCAAACTACATCACCGACCTGATATCCATCTACCACCCAAACCGCACTCTCCGCTCCTTACAAGACCTCCTACTCTCCAGTTCCCTGGTCTCCTCCTCCCATGCCCATCTCCAGGACTTCTCCAGGGCTTCCCCCATCCTCTGGAACTCACTACCCCAATCCATCAGACTGTCACCTTCCCTCCTCACCTTTAGGCGCACCCTGAAAACCCATCTCTTCATAGAAGCCTACCCCTCTCTCACCTAACTGCTGATCTCCTCCGCTCTTCCCACCACTCCATCCCCCACAGCTATTTCCTCCTGTACCACTCTCCCCTCCCTCCTAGATTGTAAACTCCAAGGAGCAGGGCCCTCAAACCCCTCGTGTTTTTTATTGTATTGTTACTGTACTGTCTTGTGTACTGTCTCCCATTATAAAGTAAACCGTTGGCGCTATATAAATAATGTATAATAATAATATATGTTATTACTTATAAAATACAGAAAATGTT